CTGTACCGAAGACTTGGTGTTGACGACATTCCCATCTTCCCCTCTTCTTCGTCTAACCCCCCTCCTCTTCGTCTGTGTATGGTTGGGGACTGGCGAATTCTTCCTGTGTGAGCGCCACGCCCCTTCACACCATGGAATGATGATGATGTAGGTTTGGTCTGCATTGCAACATTGATTGTTCGGATCATTGGTATATTAGCCTTCCGCTGCGCTATCTTGTACTATGTGAGAGAGGTCGGTTCTTGTTCTGGTCTGCACCTTTACGGTATGCGACATTATGGAGGGTCAAAGAAGAATCAGGGAGCAGAAGCAGACAAAAAACTCTCCTTTCCCTCTCTCTCTCTCACACACCTGATGCTGATGATGCTCACGAATACTGACCAGCGAAGATGGTAGCTCCTCTTATGCAGGTCGCTGGGGTGAGGCCCAGCTATGGTGCCCAGGTAAGTGTCCACATCTTCGTGCGGCTATGGCTTACCAGCCTTCGCGCTCCTCACTACCTCCTACTCCTCTAACTGCTACTCTAGCGCAGCTCAACTCAAACTGGTGCTGCTCTCCAGCTGCATGATGCCCAACAATATGCTCCAGCTGAATGTCCTCAAACTGGAGGACTGGCCCAGCTATATACCTCTGGGCCTGGCTGGACTCTCCACGGTCTGAGATCTAGCACCGATCGATGGTCCTGATCGCAGGCCCAAGTCCTGGTCCTGCATCCCTGGCCTAAAACGGCCTGCCTGGGTCCCTACCAGATGTCCAGGTGGCCTTGCTGATGCAGCAGGACAGTTCAGAATGGACGAGGACTGAGCCAGGCACAAAAAGACAAGTGCCTGGTCCCGTCCCAAATGCGGACAAAGCTGAACCTGGCCTACTACGGCCCAAACTGGAATCCACTGGTCCGAAGAGGCACCAGCCTGTTCGGACAAAAGAAAAGTCCAAAACGACACATCTGAACAGACCAAAATTGACCAGACAAAACTTAGCCCCAAACTTAATCAGCATAAAAATGCCATAAATAAATAAATGGGAACATTACATCTGTAGATTCTGTACCCCACTTAAAGATGGGAATACCCCTATACCCAGTCCAAATGCGAACTTGCATATATACCCTGGAGCCCATTCAACTTTGTATGGTACCTAACTTTTCCCCTGTACGAAATTGTAGGCATACCCAGTCCTACACGCCCTCCGTTCCAAACCATGAAATTATGCTCATGCCCAGAAACTGGGCTGCAAAATTGCAGGTGTATCCACACCCAGGGGTGGGCCCTGGACGGCGGACCACAAAATTATGCTCATGCCCACCAAGTGAACTGTTGTGGCCCAACGGCTGCTGGGTATCAGCATAATTTCAGCCATCTGGTGGTAGGGTATATGAATAATTTGTCCGGTCCACCTTCGTCCCGGGTATGCCCATAATCTTGCCTGTGTATGTCCATAATTTGTGCGTTCGGTACCAACGTGGGTCCACCTCGGTCCTGGGCATGCAAATAATTTCCACCTGCTGTTTTCTGTGTATAGATTCTATAGAATCTATAGATGCAAGATGGTGCTGGGACTGGTGTATAGCGGGTATTCCCATCTTTAAGTGGGGTACAGATGCAATTTTCCCTAAATAAATACATGCTGAATAAAAGAAAAGCATACGGGACCAAAAAAATGAGCGTAAGCCTAAAACGTGGCTGTGGCTGCACAGCCTGAGGGCCAAGTGGAAAAATGTCAGGCCTTCAAAGACCCATATAGGAGGCCGCTGCATGCTACACTCTCTCCCAGCTTGAAGCAGTGAACATATTTAGTTAAGGACCCAAGGTAGGAAGAAGATGGGGCAGAATGGAGTGCCCCTTCTGAACTTCTCGTTTCACACCAGGCCTATAAAAAGGAAAAATGCATTTCTGATTCATTCTGAACAATTCAGCAGGATCCAACAGCCATACTAACCATCAAAGAATACATCAACTCTATTTGCAATTGTTGTTGAGAGATGCCCCCCTTTCACCAAAACGCTCCTGCAGAACAAAAACGCAAACCAAGAGAGATTAAAGATGTTGATAGTGTAATTGTCGCATTCAACTTCTCTGCATTTGTTTTTTGAAAATTTCAACAATTATACCGTAAGGTCCAAATTTCTTCAACGCAAACCCAGTTGCAGAGTTCAGCAAATGAGTTACACAGACATCCACACTCACGTTGTTCGTCTGTTTATCTGTTTTCTCCCTCCGTGTTCTCTTCTCTGCCTAAGTGCTGAACGGTTTGGCTGTCTTTTCGTGTGTTCCTAAGTACCTGAGTTGAGTATCCTTAAGAAGTGCCAAGTAGTCACTGCCTGTGTGTATGGAGTACCTGTAATACTATGAGGGGGATTACTGTGTTTGGGACGTCTGTGTCTGTGTGTTTCTTGTCTGTGATGATAGCCATTCATTGGGGTGACTCCAGCCTCAGATGGTGGTGTGAACTCACAGTCTGTTGAGTACCCTCAAGATGTGCCAATTAGTCACTCAAATCATTGCCTGGGTGTCAATAGGTGATGTTCTGCTTTGGTCCGTGGTGTATGAGTGGACTTCTTTGTTGTTGCTTGTGCCTTGCTCCTTGGCTGCCCATCCGCTTGCCCTGTCTTCCCATGACGCTTGCCTGTTGGCCTTGTGGTTTGGCTGCCTTGTGCCTTGTTGCCTTGCTGCATAGAGTTTTCGTGACTATGAGTGTTGTGTATAATCGAGTGTTGGTCTGTGTAATCGTTGGGGATTGCGTTGTTGCTTTGCTGTGTAGCTACCTTGCTCCTCTGCTGCTTTGTTGCTTTCAACGGTGGTTTTCGTGACTATGACTGTTGTGTTTAATCGAGTGTTGGTCTGTGTAATTGTTGGGGATTGTAATTTTTGAGGGAGGACTAAATGTCCGGACATTTAAATTTGGTGGTGAATATGGAAGACTTGGATCATGTTGGAGGGTCATCACCATCTGCCCTTGCTGCCTCACTGCCTCATGTAGTTTGGCTGCCTTGTGCCTTGTGCCTTGTTGCCTTGCTGCCTCGCTGCCTTGCTCCTCTGCTGCCTCGTTGCTGCCTCACTGCCTTGCTCCTCTGCTGCCTTGTTGCTTTGCTGCCCACTGCTTATAGCGTCACCCTACTGCTTGCCTTGCCCTTGCCTGCTTTTTCTGATTCGTTGCTTTGGTGACTCAGTGCCTTGTTGCTTTGCTGCCTTCTTGCCCACTGCCCATGTGTTGTTTGCCTGCCTTGTTGATGCTGCGTTGCTGTATTGCTGCCTGCTGCCCATAGTGCCAACCTGCTGCCACCCACCTCCCCTGTGGAGAGATGGTGGCAGTTTCGGTGAAACATTCGCCGAAAATGACACCACCTATTAACGATTAGTGCCCTCCAGCCTATTGCCTTCTTGCTTCGTCCTTGCCTCGCTGCTTGTGATGTCATCTGGTCATCGTCCAGTTACAATGGGGGTTATAAGGGATCACGATTCAAAACATCGATGTGGGAATTCGACAGACTGTCGAGTGTTCAGCCACCTGATGAGTCGGTGCAAGCCCAACAAAACAGTCTATCACTACGCTGTCTCTTGTTTCTTCATGCAAATAGAACGTCTGGTCATTATCGCTGTATCTAGACGGAAAGTTCCACCAGATACAGCAATAATGACCAGGCGGCGGGCGCACTATTCCGGTGACCCCTTGTTTTGCCTACCTGGCGTACTCGCACATGCTATGCACTTATCCCATACAATGTATACGTGGGTTGCATGGGCAATCATATAAATCAGCAGAGTGCTTTTTCATTCCTGAGGGAACCAGTAAAACCAGCGGAGTGCTTTTCTATCTTTTGAGGAACTCGTTATGTGATCAGTGATATGGCTGCCTAGCGTGCGGAGCCGTAGAGGCCCGTAGTACAGTATGCTAGAGTACAATTGGAACACACATTATTCTCAGGGGTTTGAACATTGAGCTAGACAGTCTGATAGGATTGCAGGGTTGGAGGGAGTGAAGCCGACCACTTTTCTCAAGGGTATTGCTAGCTTCTGTCACCGGATACAACGTACCGTCATTATAGCTGTACGTGGGGTATCTTTCAGTCTAAATACAGGTATAATGACCGTACGACGTACGTCGTATTCGGGGGAAGAAGGTAGCTTTGGCCAAGATGGAGAGTCCTTGATACTCCTTATAACCAGTCACAAGGGTACCTGTTGCGGCTTCGCTCACAAAAAGATTAAGGAGAGAGAAAAAAATGAGAAGAGGTGCGGGGACTGTTGGGGGGGAGGGCATGGTCGGGGTGGATTTGACTCTCTCTCTCTCTCTCTCTCTCTCTCTCTCTCTCTCTCTCTCTCTCTCTCTCTCTCTCTCTCTCTCTCTCTCTCTCTCTCTCTCTTTCTTCACTTCAGATCTTCAGCTTATACTTAGTCTTTGTGTCCGTCCTTCATCTTCATACCGTTCATTTCTTTTTTGATCTTCATATCATCTGTTCTCTTAACGATGCTCATTTGTATGTATTTGTTAGTAGCACAAAGGGAGTGGAGGGGAACATGTGTGTGTGTGTGTGAGAGAGAGAGACAGAGAGAGGACGAGCTTGACAACGCGACTGGGCGCTCAAGCAACGGCACCCTCCACTATGCGCTTCACAACAACGGACACTGCGCTTGGACAGGGCGCTTCACTCCGCACGTCGCGAGAACGGGCAACACGCGCTCCAATGACAACGGAGTTTCAATTCACCATAACAGGGCTGTAGTTTTACAGAGCACAAACCCCTAGCTGTAGGTACCACGTCAACAAACCGTACCCGTAGGCACCATGGCCCTCTCCATACGGCAATGATCTGAGCCGTCGGGCTCAAGGTACCGGGCCAATGGCCTGGATGGGCACGTGATCTTAAGATCTGAAGGCCACGCGCCGATCCCGTCCATAGATACGGAAGGACCCGACGGCTGGGGTTTCAGATTTATTACATGTTTCCGACGATCCAGGCCGTGGGCCGGTAGGACCGACGACGGCCTGGATCAGAGATTGGTTCCCTTAGCGATTTTAATAGTGTAGGGAAACGAGTTCTGGGCAGACTTCCGGGGTTCAGCCCTCCGGATTAAAGTCCGATGAAGCACTTGGTCACAATCACCCCTTCTTTGTGGGGGGCCGGGTTTAGTCTGTCGGCAGGCAGGTTAGCAGTCCAGTCCAGTCAGTGGCCCAAGTCCCAGGAAAGCCTGTGAGCATTCCAGATGTGTCAAAGGCCGACTGCGGCCAGCAAGTGAGCGTACCGCTCCGGAAAGTCTGACGAGGGAAAATTGAATTTCCGCAAACAAAAAGGCTGGCAGGAGTGAACATCAGCATCTTTTCCACTTGCTCCTTTTCCAGAAGCGCCTCTCTGGTTTTGAGCGACCTACCTTCTTCACCCAAAAAAAAAAAAAAAAACTTAGGTCATGATAGTGGTATGTGGACTGAAATGTGGCCCAAATTCAGCTATAATGACCGTACGGCGTACATTTTATTCGGGTGAAGAAGGTAGTGCTGAGTGAGCCTGGAGTGAGACAATCGAGTAGCCGTTGTCTACAGGCGCCTGGAGCCATATCTGTAGTAGAGTGAGAGAGTGAGGAAGACATTCTGAGAGGGATCGAGGCCTGAGGGCACACACACACACACACACACACACACACACACACACACACACACACACACAGAAGGGGGGGAAGGGGGGAGAGAGGGGGAAGGGGGGAAACGGGGGGAGCGGGGGGCAGAAATATGGTTCATTCTTGGTTGTGGCTGCCGGCCATAGCTGCTCAGCCTGTGTAAACAAATCTGTGTATAAGTAAGACTTTGATTCCCAAGCAATCTTTTTTCCATGCTAATCTTCTCTGCATTGTTCCAATTTCAATGGATGTCCAGAAGGACGATGATTACTCAGCAATCTTCAAAGTTCTTGCGTCAAGTTTTTGCGTTTCCCCTCTCGTGGAATGGAGTGTATTATCAGGGTGTTGTGAGGTGCCGCTGGAGGAGTGGGCTCATTGCACCAACTGAACATATCTGTAAATTGCAGCAAAATACGTACTTGCAGCCAAGGCCAAAGATTGCCTCAGCAGCTGCCCGCATGTCGGCAACATCAACGATTTTCCTCCCGCCAAGAAGTGCAGATGCTTCCGGAAGGTTTGGTGTGATGATATCTGCCAGTGGAATCAGCTCATTCCTGCACGGCAAACACGCAAGTGACACAACCGAAAAAAAAAAAAAAAAAAAAAAAAAAAAAAAAAAAAAAAAAAAAAAAAAAAAAAAAAAAAAAAAAAAAAAAAAAGCGATGAACTTCATAAATTCACAATGCGCATCCGAATCGACCCCATAATAATACTAAATAGTAAATAGTAAATAGTAAATAGTAGGATACCTGGCCGGGGGCCGAGGCTGCCTCTGGCCGCCAGGAAAGCCCAGGCCGAGCAAGGTCCCAGGCAAGGACCCGGTCCAGGTCCGAGGAGACCCAGTGCAAAAAAAAAACGAACATAAAAAAATGAAAAATTGCAAAATAAAATTAAACCACCAGTATCTCGGCCAGCTATTTTGTTTTGGTCGCGGACGTTAACGCGCCACGACTTTAGGGGTCAGGGGAGGCCTGGTGGAGCCACGGAGGAGGAAGACGTTGGGCCCAGGGAATAGGGGCAAACGGACTGCAAGCAGTCCTCCTGGTTCGTGCAGTACATGTGGAAACACAATGCATGGCTCCTGAAAGCAACTTGTTTTTTCTTTTCTTCTCTCACAAGTACAAAAAAAAGAAAGAATCTAGGCTGGATTTGATGTGACTCCCCGTGAGGAACGGGGAGCATTGAAGTGTCTGGCAGGAAACAAACGTTTGGGGCAGCTTGAGGAAGAGCACTGTCCAGAATGTTTCTTCCCGCAGTAGTGGACTTCTACGCCTGAATCTGAAGGCAATCTCGTTGTATAGCATCTTTTCCTTTTTTTTCTCACAAGAAAAGATTAAGAAAAAGAAGAATTTCAGCCCGTGGGCTCCTTCTCAGCCCGTCCCTTCCGCTCCCTGCGCAAGAAAAAAGAAAAGAGAGAGAGAGAGAGAGAAAAGCAGGCCGTGGAGGCACAGAATCATCAGAATGTGTTGTACTGGGGTGATGGAGTTGACATGACGGTCATAAGTTGACTCATAACCCAATATTCGTTTCTTTCCAAACAAAAGCCAGTATTACTGCACCAGAGAACCCAAACATTGTTTAAAAAAAGAAGGCAAAAAAATAGAAAAAAAAAAGACAAATAAAAAGACAACAAAAAAAAAGACAAACTTTGGAAAAAAGAAAAAAAAGACAAAAAAAAAGGAAGAGCCGAGCGGACCTAATAGTAGCGGTTCTGAGAACATTTCTCAGACCCTCTCTAGACCTCTATATGAGCTTTGGTCGACCCTGCCTCCGACTTACTGACTTGCGACCTGTTGAATTGGCTGCTCTTACCTTTTGCGGTCAGCTGTAAGGCCGTGATCAGCTGCATAGGATTATGCCAGTTGGATTAACTGCGGTTAGATTAAGGGCCTCGCTCGTCTACTCTCCACATGCACAAAAGAAAAAAGACAAAAGAGAAGTGGCAATCTATCTTTCAGTGTTCTGGCAGAATTTCAGTCTCATTTTGAACAATTGGAGAGTAGTGGTCCTCGTGGAGCGAGGCCCTAACTGTCCTAGAGACCAAGGTTACTTATTGATTACGCCAGTTAGGTTGAATATCCTAGAGAAGAGGGATACTGAGAGTACGCCGTGATCATGTTCCGTCAGCTCAAGGTCCTGGATGCCTCCCACACTCTCTCTCTCTCTGCTCTGGATGACTGCATCTTGAAAGGTTGCAGGTTCAATCCCTCGAACGTTGATCCCATCACCTTCCAGTTGCCAGTCTTGCCTTTTCCGTCGCCGTCTCTGGTGAAGCGGCTCCTAATTAGAACCTCCCGATCCGATTGTGTTTTCATTCGTGCCTTGTTTCTTCTCGACAAAGCTGACTTCATTTCCGCAGTTTCGCTCGCAGCAGAGAGGGTACAGCCGCGCTGTTCATGGTAGGGAGTAAAGCAGTACCTCATCATAGTACAGGTTTTTTTTTTTTTTTTTTTTTTTTTTTTTTTAAAA